TTGGCCATCTTCCACTGTTGTCTGGCCATCGCCACCATGGGGACACAGCTCCAACCCACAACCCAGGAGCTCTGCGGGCTCTGCCAGTCCCTTGGGGAGCTTGGGCCGAAGGGGACAGGGACAGACCCGTCCCCAGGCCTGTTTTGGGTGGGGGTGGCTCTTTCCCGACCACGAGGGAGACACTGCTCCCGGCAGCAGCTCCGGGCGAGGGGACCCCCCCCCAGGGAGGGTGGCAGTGCCGCAGCTCCCTTGTGCCAGGGTCTGCAGCGCTGGCCATCTGCAGCGGTCTCACACCTGCGCCCACTGCGCGCTTGGCATCGGGTGGGCATGCTCGCTCCAGAACCCCCTGCCCGTGAGCTCCCGCCGCGCTCGCGCGGACCGAGCCTGGCACGGCGCAGGCAGAGCAGCCAGCCGGAGCGGGACCGCGTGGGCTGGGCAGGCACGGGCAGGGTTTGCAGGCAGGAGCAGGGAAGGCAGGTCTGGACACGATGGGGACAGGGGGGAGCATCGGGGGGACCTGGCGCCGCAGACTCATGCTGGATTTGGCCCTCAGCTGCAGGCAGGGCGAGGGCAGGGGAGGTGATGCTGAGCTGCTTTTGCCTCCTCTCCAGAAGATGCTGCAGCCAGGGCTCGGCTCTGCGGCGCTGCCTGCGATGCTGCAGGGACCGGTCAGTCGGGAGGAAAAGGGGCCAGAGCCCCCGGTTCCGGATGCTGAGCTTCGCCCTCCCCACCACCCACACAGCTCTGTTCCCTTCGAGGCACCCAACCCAGGCTCTACAGCAAAAATGAGCCCTGCAGCACCTTTGGGGGGGGGTCCCAGCCTCCTTCCCCACCTCCCCATCGCTCCTGGTTGGCGGCACCCCAGGGTGGACCCTGCCCTGGGCTGCTGGGAGCCTGTCGGTCCCTCCATCCCTGGTCGATGCAGCCCAGCATTAACATAAAATCGATGCCCCCTCCCCTGCCGAGCCTGCGGTCACCCCAGGGTGAAACCCTTTAACCCCTTCGCCCCTGCCTCGGGGCACCCATGGGGGAGAGGGGGGAAGGACAGAAGGATGGAGGCCAGGACGGGGGTCCCTCCTTCAGCCCCTTCACGCAGGTCCCTGCAACCTTGGGCCCCACTCTGTGTCCCCAAGAGCTTTCACACTCGTGACATCAAGTGTCCCCAAGAGCTTTCACACTCGTGACACCAGAGGGGAAAATTGGGGACAGATCACGGTTACGTGACCACGGTCCCGCAGGGAGGGACTGCTGTGACACAACTGCATTTAAAAGCACGTGGCCAAATCCATGCGGGTCCCTGGGGCACGGCACGGCCAGCACAAACCCTTTGGCTCAGCCCTGACCCACTCCTGCCACCGGCACCGCTGGGGATGGGGGTCCTTGGCTGGGGACATGGGCGGGTGGCATCGTTTCCCATCGGGAGGTCAGGATCTGGCCCAGGCTGCAGGGAGGCGCAAGCAGAGCATTAGGAGAGCAGCAGCAGGGAGCCCACACCACCAGCCTGCCCCTCCGCGCCAGGCCAGGCCCCGGATTTACATTTTTATTCCTTTTTAAGTGAATTTTGCGCTGGAGGGAATTGCCACGTTGGCAGCCCAGCAGAGCGAGGGGCTGATCCTGCTCGCTGCTGCCCCGATGTAACCCTGCCGGGTGGCCGGACCGCGGTGGGATCAGCCCCTCCAAATGCCCAACCAGGCAGGAACGGGCAGGAACCAGGCAGGAACAGGGATCGAGATGGGGCTGGGGGGCTGGCACAGCCGGGGCCCGGCACACCGGGGTCCGTCGGGCAGCGTCCGTCAGTCCGTCACACCCCGGATGGATGGGCTGCCTGCGGGCGCAGCGAAGGCGATGGTGAGCCTTCCTCCCCGCCAGTGCCCAGCTGCTCCCTCCTCCCACCCGCCTCCGCTTTCCAACCCTTTGCTCTCCACAGGTGCCCGCCATGGCCGTGCAGCCGCATCCATCTCCTCCCGGAGCCAGCACCGAGCGGCCGTGGCCGGAGGCTGCTGCCTGGCCCCC